TTTCACGCCTATTTTAGAGTGAAATCGTTTTTCATAAAAAGCGCATCCCTGGAACGCTCCAAACTTGCCTGACTGTTAGCAACACCTGGCTGCGTACCCCCCGGTCCCCGTGGTTTACTCTCTGGAAGAAGGGTCTGGGAGTCTGTATTCTTAAACCAGGTGTTCCTCCTGAGCGGGAAATTCGGGGAAACCTTGCTTTGTGATGGCGGCCCCGCAGCCCGCCAATGGCCCACTTGGAACTAGAGCCTAACAGCCACGTAGTCCAGGTGTTCCACTGCATCCTGCTGCCTTCTCGCCCTCAATTAATCCGCAGGAATTTGCGAGGCGAGCCGGGAGGCGCCGGCGGCAGGAGGCTGTCCCTAGCCCTCCTCACTCCAGGACGTTGCGTCCACGCAGTGCCTGTGGTGTTCTGTAGTTCAGTCGCGGGTCATCTCCTGTGGATGGGGGTCCTTCGCGCACCGCGCCTCATTTGTCTCCGTTTGTGGGTGCTTGGTAGAACGCAGAGGCTAGATTCGAATCCCAGCAGTCTCGCCACCTGTGGGACTTAGGGCACATCACCTGACTTCACTGTACCTCAGTTTCCTCTCGTGAAACTGGGGTGGGATTGATAGCGGGAGGGGGGTGGGGGGAGATGAGCTAATACACGCAAAGGGTTTGTTACTGTGCAGACGTAGAGTAAGAGATCAAGAAACAGCGCCTAATGTTATTTCCTGCGTGGCGAGTGGATGAGTGGAAAACGTTCACAAGCAGTGTCTGGAAACTTGCGTGGCGCCTGTCACGCCGCGCCCATCTGAGTCTGCGGGGCATCCCCACCCCCCAACCTGGGGCACATGGGGCGGGGTCTTCGGACCTCGGTCGCTGCGCCTGGTGAACTGCCAGGAGGAGTCGGGGCCCAAACCTTAGCTGAGCGCAGCACCCAGCCCCTTTGTGTCCCCCCGCCCCCTCTTCCCCACTTCCTGCCCAGCTTTAAACTCGGGATTGGCGGCGCGGCGCAGACTTTGTAAACACGTCGTGCCTGTGGCGGTGGAGACTGGTTCTGTTTGGACGCCTGGGGAAGGGGCGCGTGCCCCTCCGCGAGGCTGGAGGTGGCGACCCCCCTCCTCTCCAGGACAGAGGCCAGAAGAGGCGAGAGAGAGTGTCTCCGGCTACAGTCGGTGCTCCGGGGGCTCACCTGCCAAGGAGGTAGGCTTGAGGGCTGGAGAAGCTGAGATACATGGTGTCAGCATCTCTTCGCGTGGCTGGGGCCTCCAAACTGAGGCTGGGCACCCGGACTTGGGGTCAGAGGTGGGTGGGTTAAGGAGGTCACCGCCCCCTCATCATCTCCCCGTTGTCCTTCCAAGATTGGCTCACTTTCTCTCTGAGTTGCACGTGGCTGAAGGGCAGAGAAGCCCCCAAAGCCCTAAGATTTCTGTATGTCTACACAGTCCCCCTCCAAGCAGACCTGGAAGCCCAGTGACTTCACTAGGCTGTCTGCCGTGGTTCTTCTCGTATCTCAGAGATAAGGGTGGGAGGCAGTAGGAGGGCAGAACCAGTGTGGGCAGGGAGCCTTGGGGTCCTCCTGTCAGCCAGGGCCGAGGAGGGAGTCCAGAAGACTGGACTGGAGGAGGGACTTCTCAGTGGTGGTCCCTCTGGTGCTGATGGGTGTACAAATGATGGCCTTAGCCTTTTCTGTGTCTTTTAATGTGTCAACAAGAGGACTAACTGAAGAAATTGGTTGCTGTTACTAAGGGAGCATTAATGTGTGCATTTGCAAACATTGATAGAGAACCTGCTTTATGTCTAGGATTGTATGGGATGCTGAGGGTGCAATGATGTTATTCCTCCACAGAGTTCTGATGTGGGTGATAGAATAACAGAGATAAGGTGCCAAGTTGGGGTGGCTGGAAAGGCTTCAGAGAGAAGAGGATGTTTGAGTTGGGTTCTGAATGATGAATAGTCACCAGGCAGAGAAGTGGTGGGAAGTCTTTGTGGGCACTTACTCATAATACAGAGCTGGACTGAACCCTGCCTGTGGCGTTGCGCATTGGAATACGATGGGGACCCAGAAGCAGTTCCTGCTCTCTTTTACCCACTATCTAGACAGACATGAAGAAGAAATGGGAATGAACAGGATGGGTTCAGGGAAAGGCACATTTCTGGGCTGATACCTCAAAACCCAGAAATTCCCAGCTAGGTGCATCTGGGAGAGTCTACCTGGGGGTGACGTGACAGTTCACACAGTCTTAGGGCACCCACTCCCCACCCCTGGTTGCTAGGACTGTTTTCTCTAACAAATCCTTGCTCTATGCCCCCTACCTCAATTCTCTTTGGGACCTGACATGAGTGAAAAGAACTGGACCTCCCATTGCTTTCCTGCAGCTTCTTTTGGTCTTTCAATTCCCAGGCTCACTTGAGAGATGGCTGACACAAGAGTTTGTGAATTCACTCAACACCTGTCTGCTGTGACCACCCTGTCTGCACAGACTGAAAAACATTGGGGACATAATAGTAAATTAATCAGAGCTTCTACTCCCCTGGACTTTAGAATTGAAAGCATCTCTGAGAATCCCAGCAAGATCCTTAGTCTCTGTCCAGTCCTTGAGACCATGACCTCCGTGGTCCCAAATGCCTTCTCTCCATTTCCTTCCTTCAAGGGTTCAGAATACTGGCTGAGGCTTATCTAGTACTGTCAGTACTCATCTAAATGTTTTAAGTATAGGGTCTCATTTAATCCTCCTAACAGTCCTGTGAGGTAAGCATTAGGATTATCTACATTTTGTAGATGAGGGAACTCAGGCACAGAGGTGATACTTTTCCTAAAGAGGACACCAGAAATAAATGGCAGCGTTGGGATTTAAACCCAGGTCACTTGACTTGGGAGGCCCTGTTCCTAACCATTAGGCTAGCCTGCCTCCTTGACTGACCACATGGAGTACACACTTGAGTCAGACTTAGGGGTTTCTGAAAGGGAGTCCGTGGTCCTGTATCTTGGGTGATACAGAGGAGCGCATCTGTTAGCTGAGCACGTGCTGTTTACAGGGAGCCCCAGCAGGCCTGCAGTAAGGTTGTGGGGACCACACGGAGCTGATATCCTTTCCTAATGGCCCTGTGTGTGTATGTGTGTGCGTGTTTTTTCCTGAGTAAGCCTCCCTCACCAGGAGGAACAAACCAAGGTTTGACACAAGAAAGATACATGGAGGTGGTGTGCTAGAATCTGGGGAGATGGGAAGTCAAGATCCACCTTTTGTTGGGAGTCTTTAAGAAGAGCAGAGACCATCATATTCTAGGTTCTGAGGGGAACAATCCAGCCTGGTAGCTGAGTAAGGAAGATGGTTAGGGGGTGGAAGCAATCTTAAGATGCTCGCTCCTCTTCACCATAGCTGCTGTATCCCAAAGCTGCATCCCAAAGCTGCATCTGCGTATCCAACCTCATCCCTTCAGGCAGCCTGGGACCTTGCCTATGACGCCAGCCAGGCCATAGGGCGGAGGTTCTGTGGATTCCAGCCATTTCCTGAAACTCTAAGTTTCTCACCTGAGCCCTCCAAACAGATCTGGGGAGGCCCTGAAGCTGTCCCTCTCTGCCTGCAGTCAAACTGCCTCTAGTGACTGTCTTTGAGGGAGGGGTGTGTGTTGGGTGGAATGGATGTTGATGCTGGGAGTTGAGGCTGAGGGTAAGCAGGACGTGAAGGCCAGAACTGTTCAGATCTCCAGGCTACTCCTCCCCCACACACACCCCTCATAGGGTGGGGTGCGATGGAGGCCTTGGCAGCCCCAGCCGCCTGCCCTAGGTGCCCCACTCTTTGAGAACAGGTTGTTCTCTTGAGAAACCACAAGAGGAAGTTTAGGGAGGGTTGGGGGTGGGGAAAGTTCTGGGGCTCCTGCCAAGTTTCCCTTTCTCTGCTGAGCGGTAGGTGTGTTTATTTTGGTGTGTTTTTCTTGCCCTCAAAGACATTTAAATTTTAAACCCTCTGTGAGTTTCAAAGAACTGTCAAGACCTGCCCCATTCCAGTGTGTGCAGTGTGTGGGTGTGTTGGGGGAGACAGAGACACCCCTGGAAGTGGGACCACAACATGGTACTCATTTGTTGGATTTCATCTGGGATTCGTGCTGGTGAGGAAAGGCTGGCTGACTCCATGAAGTCTCTTTTTCTCTGTCTCTCTGCCCTTTCACCTTTCTCTTCCCCAAAGCACTCCCACAGCCCCAAACTCAAGAAAATGTGGTTATAACGGCCACTTAGGAGCTGAATGATGTGGCCAGGAGCTGCCCTAAGTGTTCTACCTGCCTTATCTCATTTAATATTCACCATAACTCCTGGTAGTAAATGACTCTGCCCCAGTTTACAGATTAAGAAACTGAAGCCCAGAAAGGCTAAGAAACTTGCCTGAGGTTACACAGCTAGTAAGTGGCAGAGCCCAGATTTGAACACTTGTCTGTCTGACTTCAGGGCCTGTGCTCCTGAAGTCTGTTTAACCCCCAAAGCAGGACATCGACTTCCCCAGCATACTAGACCCTGCACAATAGGAGGCTGAGCTCCAGAGATATTTTAATAATGGTGCTGCTAGTGTGGGGCGGCGGGGGGCTTGGGTATAGACTTGGAAG